AGATAGTTGGTAGTACGCAAAGCTAAGAGGGAAACCGAACGAAACCGAGAGGCATTTAATTTGCACAAAGACTAAACACGAAATAGAAAGGTCAGGCAGTGACACGGCGTGCCTGGAGTTTACATGGCTACATACGTGTTGCGAAGCCGGAGACATGCAACACCGAAAGACACAGAAAAACGAAGATCGGGCTTGTCACACAGCATGCGTAGCGTTGATGGTCTACTTCCGTGCTGCTGAAGAGGACTCCTGCCTTGGTAGCAGGGGCATCGTTGGAGGAAGAAGACCTGAGGTGGTGAAGACAGCAGTTCCGTCCTCCAGTAAGACCGCTTGTTCTTTGCAGTCCCGAGCGGAGGGGTCCGAGGTGGAGACGCAGGTGCGACGACGTGGTTTTGACCCGTCCCGCCGGCGCGTGCAGCTCGCCCGTCGCTGGCCGCTCGGAGCCCCGAGCGGCGGCGTCTCGCTGAGAGAGGGCTCTTGGCGGGCTTCGCGGAGCGGGAGGCCGAGCGGCGGCCCCTGCGTCGCGCGCCAACATTTGACGCTGTCGGTGGACGCGGGGGGCTACCGCCCCCCTCGTCCCCCGTTTGAGAGTGCATGTATGTGCATACGAAACAAAATGTAACATTTGCAACACATACCAAGTGGGACGGTGGTTCGCTACATACAGCTCAAGAGAACGATGGACATACATACGCAGGTTCAAGTCGAGAGAAGCATGCATGCATGATGCGTCATCATGCTCTCCTTATCCACTTACCGTCTTCTTCTTTCTTTCACTGAAACAAAACGAAGTGCAAAAATAATTAATTGTCGAACAAACGATGAAGCTTCTGGCGCACACCCTGCTGTAGCCATAATGTATGTGTGTGCACCTGTCTGTCTTTAGTATAAGCAAGCATCTGACCGCGCTAACCGGCTGACAAATGAAGACGTCAGTCTCAGTGCGGTGGAAACACACAATGCTAGGGTTGTGTATCAGCGCAGCCGAACGATACAATATGTATCGGAGATCGGCGCAGCCGATATAACGATATTTTTTCGATATATATCGCCGATATATCGAAAAAATATCGGCGAGCGAAGCGAGCCGTGGTTAGGGGGCTC